GTTCTAGGTTTCTGCCTGTTAAAAGGCAGCTTTTCCTTGCCCTTGTCGCCAACTGCTTGCTCATGGTGGTACTGTTGGCTCTCTGTCAATACTTTTATAAGGTGTTCAGTCTAGACCTGCTCTAAAAGTGAAAAGTGTCCCGAGATAACTTCTGTTATGAATTGGCGCTATACAAATAGAATACAACTGAATTGAATTAAGAGGGTAAGAGGCTGATAGTGCAGCACTTCCTGCATGTGCTTCACAATAAAAGCACTTGAATATGAAACGTCAGAAGAAATGTTTGTGTGCGTCAGTGTGTGTGAGTGAACTAACCCTGGAGGTGTTTTCCAGGCCTTGTCTCTGTCGGAGGATCTTCAGTCTCTCATAGTAAACAGCCGGTTTCAGCTCTTCATTATTACTGCTCAAACTGGAGTCAACGCCATGCTGAGGGATCACTACACACACACACACACACACACAGTCAGTAGACAATCCTGACTTCATCCTGCCTGACGCACACGGTCACAGCTTCCAGTTGTACCTGCTGAGGTCTGGATGCGAGCCTTGCCCTCTCTCTCGGACTCGATCATACGGAGGCCTCGCTCCACGTAGCTCTGGAAGAACTGGGACGTGTTTTTGAGGAAGGGCTCCAGGTCTGCATCCGTGTACTTCTGTTTGTACTCATACAGCTCCGTCAAACCCTGAGAGGAAGATTGGATGCATTATTGGAGCATACAATGTTTGTTACAATAGGTCTTTTGTATGGTCTGAAGTTAAATAAGTCAATCAAATCTTAAGACAAAGAGTTTTAATCTGCAGCAAACGATGTCAAGATGTTTTATAGAGCAGAGCTGACCTCTTTAGTGTTCTCCTTGGAGCCAATCTTCTTAAAGATTTCAGACAGAATGTCACTGACCTTCGCCTTTGACATCCGATCCTCCTGGAACGAAACATAGAAAGAAGGACAAACTTGTTATATCCATCATCACGATTATGCAACAGAAACCCTGTTTAGACCTGGTAAGACATCTGTAAGTACAGGTATGAATGCATCCAAGATGCATTGAGATGTGATCGCTGAGACCACATTAAAATGTGCGGTCATTCAAGACTCCTGTTAATGCCAGGTTTAAACAGGGCTCGAGCGTTGGTGGTGTTGCTCACCGTGCGCAGACCAGTCTTCTCGTTGCCACGGTCACTCTTGAATCCCGACAGGTTTCCAGAGTGTTTGACCACCCGCCTCAGATGGGCCTCCAACTCTGACTCATTACGATTCTCTATCATGGATAAGTGGTCCAGGATCTGTTCATCGGTGCATGAATACAATAAATACATATAAAGACAATAAGACTGACTCCAAATAATTTGTGAGTGAGTGAGTGAGTGAGTGAGTGAGTGAGAGAGAGAGTGTTACCTTGGCCCCAGTGAGCTTGCAGAGTGTGTGTAGCAGAGTCTTGAGGGTTCTGTGTGGGACATCACTCTTGAGCTGCTTGAGTTTCTCTTTGGGGAAAACCTTCATGAAGTTGTGGACGTCCAGCAAGATGCGATCAAGGTTTATGCTGTCAATGGTCTCTGGGAGGAAGCGGATCATCCTCCACAGACACTGAACACACAAGAGGTGTTTAAGCTTATGATTTGCACTTTTTAAATGGACAGTAGAGTCATGACTAGGAGGACTGGGACACTTCTTACCTTCATGACCAGTTCAGAGAACATAGGGGGACCAGCTGTTGTGACCAAACTGTCCTGAAGCAAAACCAGCAGAGCACTGCAGAGAGGCAGGAAGGGAAGAAAAAGTCAACTAAACAGGTAAAAATATGATTTAGTTTCTTGTAGAATTGTTTTCATCTGTCCCATTTGGACAGCCTGTCCATCATACACTAACACAGGAACAATGGAGGACTTCAAAAAAGAGATGCGTTCTTGATTCTCAGTATGTGTCTGTTACAGCAAGTAAGGCTGCACAATTAATCACAATATGAAAATCACAGAAGCAGTAAGTGGTAGCAGAGATGCTCTGGCCTACAAATCTTGATCTCCAAATCTCCAGATTTGTTTTGTCATGTCAGTGACCTTCGACTGCAAACTTCTAATCAGTTCATCCTTAAAGGGGAACTTTGGCAGATTTTTACCCTAGTCTTGAGAGATCGGAGGTGTTCATAAACTGCCGGAAATCCAAACGAAGAAGA